AGGGCGAGGGGAGAGGGAGGACAGGGGAGGGGAAGGGTCGGGGGGAGGGGCTTTCGGCGCGCCCGGCTGTGACAGCTGCAAACCACGTGGTGGGCGTTGGGGCGCGGATTGCAATGGGATGACATTGGCAGCGGTAACCTGCGCCTTTGGCATGTTTCTTCTGTTGCCATAGAGATGCAGGTATCTCTCTCTTCCTTGGAAGCCAGATTTTGAGGATGTTTAGTGGCACTTTATCCCACGCTGCTCTCAGCAAGACGCAAAAACACGTGTGCTCAGGCATTGACAGCCCAGCACCACGCGCCAAACCCGGGCCCGCAGCCGCCGCTGCCTCTGCTCGATTGTACGGGGTTAGAAATCGGTAACGTATAACATCACCTCTTTCGCTCGCAGCATTTGGCATCAACAGCATTTTGTATCAGCGCGGCATTTATCTGTCCGAAACCTTCACTCGCGTGCAGAAGTACGGGCTCACCTTGCTGGTCACCACGGACCCCGCGCTCATGAAGTACCTGAGCAACGTGGTGGAGCAGCTGAAAGGTAGGACCCCTGGGAGCAGGTGGGGCTCGGCAGGCCTTCCAGAACCCACGGGTTCCAGGTTTGTCAGCTGTGCACATAAAGGCGTAACACAAGCGACCCTCTCAAGTACAGCGACCCTCCTGGTGGGAGGAAGCACATAGCATCGTTGACACTAGGGATCTGGTAGACAGTCTAACAAAACGGCCTCCATCGTCTCCCTTAAAAAGGCACTTTTGCAGTTTGGGTGGCCAAATGGAACCAGTTGAATCCTGTATAATAAAAGCCTAATATACAAATTGTCCCTTCAACCAGGAGTATGGCCGGAAGTTCAACCAGAGGGCGGAGAATGTCGTGGAGTTTTCAGGCGGCAGGGGAAGGAAGGCACCCCAGCCGGCAGCTCCTAGGTAGCTTAACTTTTTTGGTGCGATGGTAAATGGGATTGTTTTTATAATCTCTCCTTCTGTAAGTTCACTATTGGTGTATAGAAATGCCATAGATTTCTTGGCATTAATTTTGTATCCGCCGCCGCTGCCTCTGCTCGATTGTACGGGGTTAGAAATCGGTAACGTATAACATCACCTCTTTCGCTCGCAGCATTTGGCATCAACAGCATTTTGTATCAGCGCGGCATTTACCCGTCCGAAACCTTCACTCGCGTGCAGAAGTACGGGCTCACCTTGCTGGTCACCACGGACCCCGCGCTCATGAAGTACCTGAGCAACGTGGTGGAGCAGCTGAAAGGTAGGACCCCTGGGAGCAGGTGGGGCTCGGCAGGCCTTCCAGAACCCACGGGTTCCAGGTTTGTCAGCTGTGCACATAAAGGCGTAACACAAGCGACCCTCTCAAGTACAGCGACCCTCCTGGTGGGAGGAAGCACATAGCATCGTTGACACTAGGGATCTGGTAGACAGTCTAACAAAACGGCCTCCATCGTCTCCCTTAAAAAGGCACTTTTGCAGTTTGGGTGGCCAAATGGAACCAGTTGAATCCTGTATAATAAAAGCCTAATATACAAATTGTCCCTTCAACCAGGAGTATGGCCGGAAGTTCAACCAGAGGGCGGAGCTGGTGGTGGTGGCTGCAGGCGGCAGGGGAAGGAAGGCACCCCAGCCGGCAGCCAGTAAGCAGTAGGGATCCGACCCATGCGGGAATTTAATGCACTGGGCCTCCAGTTTTACATAATTATGATCGTTTTTATTATCGGTGGAAAAAACTCACTATGTGTTCTTAACGATATAGTTCCTGTACGTGCATGAAGTCTAAAGCCATCATTACTAAGTTCAAGTAAATAAAATTGTATTCAATGTGAGAACTAAGACTTCAAAGGAGTAAGAAGAAAAGTAACTCAATAATAGAACAGATAGTAGAGTGTTATCATTTTCACCTGTTTCCATTTGTCTTTTTCAAAGAATCCAGCCTGAGTTTAAACATTTCATTTTTTTCCAGAAGTTCCTGTGTGGTGGGAGCAGTCCTGGTTCCCACCTTTCTTTCCTTCCTTTATATTTCCATGTTTCCCTTCCATG